TCCCTTCTCAGCGCCATATTGTGGGAGAGCAGATGCATAAAATAAGTCTTAATTCCAGTAACTTAGTCTAGTCCGAGTTGCTCCCCACATCTCTCTCTGCCTCTCCTCTCTCTGTGTAACTCTGACTTGCAAATAAATAAATAAATCTTTAAAAAATTATTTCTTTTTGAAAAGCAGTATGACAGAGAGACAGAGATCTGTCTACTGGTTCACTCCCCAAATGGCCACAGTGGCCAAGGCTTAGCCAGGCTGAAGCCAGGAGCCAGTAGCTCCTTCTATGTCTCCCACGTGGAAGTCAGAGGGCCAAGTACTTGGGCCATCTTCTGCTGCTTTCCATGGCAACCCAGGAAGCTGGATTGGAAACAGAGCAGCTGGGACTTGAACCAGCACTATGATATGAAGTGCTGGTATCACAGTTGGTGGCTTATTGCACTGCGCCACAGTGCCAACCCCAGGATTTTTATATCTGAGATTGTAGGAAACAATAGGTTAATTTGAGAATTATTGGAATCTTTATAATATTCAGTTTTCTGTACTATGAACATGATAAATATCCCTTAATTTACTTAGGAAACCTTTGATTTCAATAATAGTTTTGTGTGTAGAGGTATTGTGCAATATGGGGTTCCTTCTATAGATTTTAAAATGTACTTATTTCTATTTTAATAAGTAGTTCGTATGAACCATATGTATGTTTACCTTTTCCAAAGGTACTGGAGGTTATTTCTAAACCTTTCATGTTAAAAATAATGCTAATGACACTCCTTGACACTTTTATATGCTGAGATCCAGTGACAGCTTTGACTTAGGATCTCCACCTCTTCTTTCATAGCTGATCTGAACCTATAGCACTGAGAAACCTAGATGTCGTCCCTCTTCTGTCTATCCCTCTACTTTCCCTCTTCTCCCCTCCTCCTCAAATACTTCCTCCTCTGGATCTTTCCAAATGGGCTAGTTAAACTGCCATTCCTCAAGCTGGGAAGCCTAGAAGCTCTTTTCCACTTCAAAGCCTCTTCATATGTCCTAACTTTATACTTCTCTCACTACTAAAGAGATTTTTTGGGGCCTACGCTGAGGTATAGCAGGTAAAACCTCTGTCAGAGGCACCAGCATTCCATATGGGTGCCGGTTCAATACCTGGCTGCTTCACTTCAATCCAGCTCTCTGCTTTGGCCTACAAAAGCAGTCTCCCACACCTGAATGGGAGACCTGGAAGAAGCTCCTGTCTCCTGGCCTCAGATCAGCCCAGCTCCATTCTTTGCAGTCATCTGGGGAGTGAAACAGCAGTTGGGGGATCTCTCTCTCTCTTTATCTGCCTCTGCCTCTGCCTCTGCCTCTATAACTCCACCTTTTAAATAGATAATTAAAAAAAAAGATTTTTCTGTCTATTTTGTGACCTCTGTACTTAGAAGAGAGGGAGGAGGATGAAAAAGTCTGTAAGTTATCTTCTGTACCCAAAGAAGAGTACTGTTTCCAATTGTGTCTACCTTTATTGTTCTCTTTGGTATTTTGGAGTAGCTCTTTGTCCCACCACCATTCCACCACCAAAAGCAAAACAATAGACAGGTAAATAAAGTTTTTAAAAGGTACTTTGCTAGGCCAGCGCCCAGGCTCAATAGGCCAATCCTCTGTGGGGAGCAACTGGGAGCAACTCGGACTAGACTAAGTTACTGGAATTAAGACTTATTCTATGCATCTGCTTTCCCACAATATGGCGCTGAGAAGGGAAACAGCTTCTACACAGCTGCCTCCAGTTCAACCAATAAACTGTGGGACCTGCTCCTGATTGGAGGAGAGCAGCGTACTCGGCGTGTGGGTAGCAGAGTTGGGATTGGTGGAAGAGGACTATAAAGGAGGAGAGAGACGGCATGCACCAGGAACATCTAAGGGGAACACCTGTGCAGCCCCCGAGAGAGCCGGCCGGCGGTGTGCCGCTCCCCTGCGGAAGTGGGGAATGTGGCCAGGGGGAACTGCCCTTCCACGGAGGTGGAAGGGATGGTAGCCAACCCGGGAAGAACCAGCAGCAAACCCGGGGAGGGCCGAGCAGACAAAAGAACAGTGCAGGGTCCTGTGTCGTTCCTCCACGAAGACGGGGAGCGACAATCCTCCGCCTGCAGCACCGGCACACTGGGTTCTATCCCGGTCCCGGCGCCGGATTCTGTCCTGGTTGCCCCTCTTCCAGGCCAGCTCTTTGCTGTGGCCTGGGAGTGCAGTGGAGGATGGCCCTAGTGCTTGGGCCCTGCACCCACATGGGAGACCAGGAGAAGCACCTGGCTCCTGGCTTCAGATCAGCGCAGTGCGCCGGCCGCAGTGGCCATTGGGGGGTGAACCAATGGCAAAAGGAAGACCTTTCTCTCTGTCTCTGTTATCTCTCTGTCTACTCTGCCTGTCAGAAAAAATAAAAATAAAAAAAAAAGGTACTATGCTGATCACTGTCAATAGTATACTTAATTTTTAAAACCATCTTATCAAATAAGTCATCCCCATTTTATTTATAAATAAATTGAAGTTTAAAAGGTTAAGCATGGTATTCAAATTCCCACAGCTTTCATCTGTTTGGAGCTGGGATTCAAACCAGTTCCCTTGACTACAAATGCTGTGCTCTTCATAACTACTGTGTTGCTTCTCTGCTTATTCCGTACGCATGAAGTGTTCTGATGCCAATGGCACCTCCTCTTAGGAGGTTGGAGCAAGGTTTTCAGTAGAATGTGAGGTGGTAGGATGCTGAGATCATGATTATGTGATTTGCTTCTTTGTCTTTCCTCCTTCCCTCCCTTATTTGAAAGGGAGAGTTACACAGAGGCAGAAGCAGAGCAAGAGAGGTCTTCCATCCACAGTTCACTCCCTAAATGTCCCCAGTGGCTGGAGCTGCACCTATCTGGAGCCAGGAGCTTCTTCCAGGTCTCCCACGCAGGTGCAGGGGCCCAAGGGCTTGAGCCATCTTCCACTGCTTTCCCAGGTCATAGCAGGGTGCTGGATTGGAAATGGAGCAGCCGGGTCCAAACTAGCACCCATATGGGATGCCAGCACTATAGATTGCAGCTTAACCCGCTATACAGCAGCACCAGCCCCTCTGCATTTCTTTCTTTTTATTTTTTTTTTAAGAGGGACTCCTGATTTATTAGATTCCTGATATACACAGAAAGTTTTTGGTCTTGGTTGAAGAATGAAATTATTAGGAGCCAGCACATTAGTATAGTGGGTAAAGTTGCCACCTGCAGTGCCGGCATCCCATATGGGCACTCTACTTCTGATCCAGAGCACGCATACACACACACACACATACACACAAACTGAGAACTAATTTTACAGTTAACTCTCATAACTCATTGAGGACAGAGGTCCTGCATGGAGAGTTGGTGCACAGTAGCTCCTATTGTTAATTTAACAATTAGCTCTTTCAGTGTAACTCGGTGACCACCTGAGGCTCTTAACATGAGCTGCTTAGGCTATGGGAGCCTTTTGAGTCCACAAACTCAATCAGTATTTGGACAAGGCCATAAGGAAAGTGGATTTTCTCTCCTCCCTATAGAGAAAAGTACCTCCTTTGATGGCCACTTCTTTCCACCGAGGTTGCACTCAGAGAGATCCTTCACGTGGAAGATTTTTTGCCACAGTGTCTTGGCTTCCCATGCCTGAAATTGTCTGGCCTTTTTGTAATGACACTCCACTTGGCCCGACATAGTATTTAATATTTTTTATTTTATTTTTTTTTTTTTTTTTTTTTGACAGTTTAGAGAGAGACAGAGACAGAAGAAAGTCTTCCTTTTTTCCTTTTCCGTTGGTTCACCCCCCTCAATGGCCGCTGCGGCCGGCGCATCGCGCTGATCTGAAGGCAGGAGCCAGGTGCTTCTCCTGGTCTCCCATGTGGGTACAGGGCCCAAGGACTTGGGCCATCCTCCACTGCCTTCCCGGGCCACAGCAGAGACCTGGCCTGGAAGAGGAGCAACCAGGACAGAATCCGGCACCGCAACCGGGACTAGAACGCGGTGTGCCTATTGAGCTGTGGCGCCAGCCCACTGGCCCTGCTGAAGAAGGAAGTGCTTCTGAAGGCTGTCCATTCTGGTAGGGTTGTCAGTAACTTTGTACCTGAGAGACTTCAGTGACTAATCATTGCCTATTAAATAAAGTCCATCTTTCTTAGCTGTCCATCATTCGGCTTCTTGCAGGTTCCTGTCCTCAGGGATCTTTCTGTTCTTCGTATACACTGTATACCAATTAAATTGGGCTGCTTGCTGCTTTCTCAGTGTTGTGTCTTCTGTGTGGCCTGAACCTGCCACCTTCTTACTATTCAGGTGTCCAGTATAAAGGCTAGTTCCCCTATATCTGTGAGCATACTGCCTTCCCCAACTACCACTAACAGGAGTCATTTTCCCACTTGCAGTTAATTGCAGTTTGTAGCATAGCCTTGTTATACCCTGCTTAGTGATGAATTCCTTGAACCCAGGATCTTGCCTTTGTTTTGAATTTGGATATATATTAATCACATTGGATGTAAATTAACTGGATTTTTTTAGTTTCAAGGAAACTGGTCAGAAGACTGTCAGAAATTCCTACTCTACATTGGCTTACGAATAAATGAAATCAGTTCAGAAATTCTGTAGGCTTAAACACTATATTTATTCTTAGGACTTTAGCAAAGAATTTTTTTCCAGATAGACATTTATTTTTTAAATGTGTACCATTCTTTGGGGTGGTTATTTAGCTAGCAGTTAAGATACCCACATCCCATATCAGAGTAACCTGGGTTTAATTCTCAGCTCTGCCACCTGACTCCAGCTTCTTGCTAATACAGACGCTGGGAAGCAGCAGTGATGGCTCAGTAATTGAATTCCTGGCTTTAGCCCTGGCCCAGCTCCAGCTATCGCAGGCATTTGGCAAGTGAACCAGCCAATGGGAGCTCGCTCGCTGGTTCTCTCTCGCTCTCTGCCTCCCAAATCAGTAAGAATTTAAAGAACAAATGTTTACCCTCCTTTATATTGACTCTCCTTCTTTTCTAGGGCACTGTCTTTAATCTTGAGTCTGAGGAAGAGGAATATCCTGGAGTCATTGCAGAGGACAGCAATGACATTTACATTTTGCCCAGTGACAACTCTGCACAAGTCAGTCCCCCAGAGTCTCCAACTGTGACCACTTCGTGGCAGTCGGAGAGCTTACCTGCCTCCCTGTCGGCCAGCCAGAGTTGGCACACGGAAAGCCTGCCAGTGTCCCTAGGTCCTGAGTCCTGGCAGCAGATAGCCATGGATCCTGAAGAAGTCAAGAGCTTAGACAGCAATGGAGCTGGCGAGAAGAGCGAGAACAACTCTTCGAATTCTGACATTGTGCATGTGGAGAAAGAAGAAATACCTGAGGTTGTGGAAGAGGGCGCTGTGGCTCCTGTGCCACCCAGGGAGCTGCAAGAGGCATTCCCTACAGCTACAGCTCCCTTGCTCCCACATATCACTGCCACTTCCTTTCTGGAGACCAGGGAATCTGGCCCAGAGATGACTGCAGTAGAGGAAGCCAGCCCTGCCACATCTTTGTTTGTAGAACTTGATGAAGAAGAAGTGAAAGTAGCAGCAGTGGAACCTCCTGAAGTAGAGCAGGTGGTGACCCCTGCACTGAAATCTGCATCAACACCACAGAGAGGAGAGGAGTCACATGTGAGCAAAGAGAGCCTTCCAGAAGAGCCCTCCCCGACTGGAGGTGCAAAGGCCATCCCACTGTGTGAGGGCAAGTTCATCCTGCTGTTTGGAGGGGCTGCTGCTGCTGCTATCCTGGCAGTGGCCATTGGGGTGGCATTGGCTCTGCGGAAGAAATAGATTCTCCAAAAGAGGAAGACAACGCTGTGTTTGCTGGATTTGAACTGCCAGCAGCTGAATGGGTGTTTGTGGAACACTTGGGGATAATTGGGGTTTTCTGCTCAACATGGCAGCGGGTTGATCCACACAGTAGGGCTTGAGGTCGAGGGTGTGCATGGTCATCTGTGAATTCCAAGGGCCTTGTCTCATGTTAGATTCAGAATTACACAAGTACAGAGCTCCCTCTAGAACGGGGTTTCTCCACTTTGCCGTCATTGACATTTTGATAATTCCCTGTAGGAGGAGGCTGTCCTGTACATCCTAGGATGTTTAGCAACATCTTGGCCTCTGCAGCTGCAGTAGCACCCCACTTCCTAAAGTGACAGCTGAAGTGGTCTGAGAGGTTGCCAAGTGCCTGCTGTGGGCAGTCCCCCATGGAGAGCCAGTGTGTTATTGGTGGGGGGTGTGTTGAGTGGGAACATCTAAGATGGAAGTCCCAGCCAGGAGGGTTTGCTGTCACTCCACTGGGCAGTGATTCCTCTGCTGGGATCTCATCTGTCCTGGTGGCCAGGCTGTGTGTGCAGCCAGCTGCCTCTGACTCTTGCTCTCTGCCCTCTTCCTGTCCCTTCATGGGGAGTGGGCTCTCCTCCCGTCTCCGCCATCTCTCAGGTCCCTTCTCAGACCCCATGGGAGAGTGCTCTGTGCTTCTGCCCAGACTTGCCACTTCCCCAAGGCTTTCTCCACCTCCACCTTGTAGAGATGTTGCCTTTAGGAATCTTTTACAAAATAAGTCAATATAGAGTAACATGAGACCTGGGGCTCCCTAACCTGTGAGTGCAGTGCAGGTTGCTGGCCAGAGAAACATCTGTCTTGTGTAGAGGCAAAAGGATGGCTAGGTGACCTATCTGGGTAGCTTCCAGCCCTTCAGTCAGTGTCACCCCCTTGCCTGTGGGTGCTTCCTAACAGCATCTGCTGTTTCTGTGCCCTGGGTTGGTATGTGCCCCCCGTGGCTGACCTCATTCTTGTTCCTGCTCCTCCACCTCTTGGTGGGTCTCTTGCCACCTGGGGCTCACAGACCCAGTTGAATTTCAAGTCTTACTAAATATAATATCATTGAGATAAAATGGCAGATATCATCTTATCATTTAAGTATCAAAGGTAAAAGACAAAAGAGGCTTGAGTTTCAAGACGGAGGCCACCTTGAGATTCACACTCGGCTTCCAGAGTCCAGAATGGAGGCTTCTCTTCCTGGACTTAGCACAGCACAGAAGCCAGGGGTGCCCGACACAGCAGTCACCCTAGTCTCTGACAGCAGAGAGTCACTGGCATTTTCTTTCAACTGGCCCCTCCCATCCCTAAAGGAGGGGAGGTACTGCACCCTCCCATGGCTGAGGGTCACTGTGTCACTGTGCAGAGCACGAGTGGTTTTTTTAAAAAGGTCACTTCAGATTTACTTAGTAAATATAACACATTACTTTTTAGAGCCTGAAATTTATAATAAAATTACTTTATCTACCCTTAACACCAAAACCCAATGCTTTCAATGTGCTTTTTGAAACTTATTTTTTAAAATAAAACCTTCTCCCTAAAGTATTACATTTTTTTAAAATGTTCAAGAAAAGGTCTGAGGATATGTTTGTGTGTCTTGCACAGCTTTATCAAGTCCTGTGTCCTTGTGGTCTGAAACTTGGTGGCCCACTTAGTGGTGTTCTGAGGATCTTGTTGCACTTTTGTTGGCATAGCTGCAGGTGAGGGGCAGGCGGGATCAGTGTGGGGACAGCCTTCTCCACAGCACTGACAGGGGCATTGGAGTTTTCTGTTTTCTAATTGCTGTGTTCCTGTTTGTGTAGGTTGGAGACTGGTGAGTCTCTCTTTCATAAAATCTTCTCTTCCAGGGTTAACACGTTTTAACTCTGGATCTCATACCCAGTGACCAGAGCAGATTTGAGCAGTGATTGAAGCCCTTGGCCTAGAACACCCATGCCTGTGTTCCCCACCCCAGGACATCAGGGGCAAGTGTAACAGTGATGTGAACGCACACGAATTCCCATTCGCTGAACGTTAACCTGAAGTACCTGGCCAGCTGTGTTGTGCTGGTTGACATTCTTTCTGCTGCCTTCTGCCCCTTGAATGTTTGTTAGTTCCCATGCTTAGTTTCCATGCTTTCTCCACTTTCTTTCCTTCTCCCTCTGCCAGTAGAGGAGTGGCCTTCCCAGAAGCTTGCGTTTTTCACTATTACATTAAAAAGATTTATTTATCCAGATGCTCCTCTTTTTGAGGGGCTTATAGTAGGGAGCTGGTCCTTCCTGCTCCCCAACTTACATAACACCTGAGTCCAAGGTAAAAGAAGGACTTGGAGTTAAATCCAACTTGCCGGGATAAGGGTTTCTGGTCACTTAGCAGAAAGCCAGTAGAGGTTTCTTGAAAAATCCGAGAATTATGAGCACTAGTTTATGCCCTCAGGAGTGCATCCGTACCTACAGTGTGCCTTAAGAGACTCTTTTGATCAATGCTCTTGTGAGAACTTTCTAGATAAAGAAGTGTCTGTGCAGTACTCACCCAGAGGCACCCTTGATGCATCCTCTTGCCTGTGCTTCTGTACCATCTCAAACGATGAACCAGCAGCATGGTTTTCTGAACTGCAGCAGTGTCCTATAAGCCTTTGTGCCAATTCCCTGAAAGAACAGCTGCGCCCGCTCCCCCTCTCTTTCCCTAAAGGTGTGGCAGACGTGGGCAGTCATTTGAAAACCTGACATTTGAATTTTTGAATCATTTTAAGAGTGTTTTTTTTTTTTAAGAAATAAAAGGTTTTATAGGGAAGAGAGTTGTTCCCTTCTATCCTTTCTCCTAACTTCTTAAGTCTTTGAAAACTCATCTTTCAGAGGATGTGAAGTGACTATATTCACCTAGAGGCCAATCACTAATTTTCTTACAGCCCCTGACATAATCCCCTCACAAGCATTGTCTCATGTAAAGTCTCAGCAACATACTGGATGCCAGAAAAATGTCTCCTTATCTCTGGGGGAGAGTACTTGCATCCGTGACAACCTCCCAGCTGAGGTCAGTTTGATACCCCTGGTAGAGTGTGCTTTCTGCACACACACACTTTTGTGTGGGACACTCATCTTGGCACTCCGTTGAACATTTAAAGTATGCAGAGGTCGTCCCAGTGCCCTCACACACCTTACGACACCTGCAGGGTTAACAGCTGATTTCCTCAGCTTTAGTTACAAACAACACAAACCTGACTAGGACCTAGTTAACTTCTAAAGTCTTCTAGCACACAAGAGGCAATGAGCTGAATTTTTCTGACTCCAAGTCCTAGTACCTTTTCTGGATTTTACCATCGTTGTGACCTTGCAGCGCAGTATTGGCAGGCTCCCTGCAATGGTTGTGCCCCTGATTCCTGCAAGAGGGTGTGGGGGGGAGGGGCGCAGGCACTGCTTACCACACTGTGCGCTCTGCAGGAAGGTGAGTCTTGCTGTAATTCTGCTAAGCAACCACCTAAGCTAATATCCAGCCTGACCTGTTACAGAAGTCAAGAGTGAAGCTTATGTCTAGGGCTGAGCCAACATGCAGCTGCACCAACTATCTTCTGTATCCACAGAGGTCCCGACAGTCACGGCTGATGCTTGGTTAGTGCCCTAAGTATTTCTGCTCCTAAACAAGGTTGGGCAATCTGATACCATGTGTAAGCGAGGCAGGTGGAGGCAGCACCATGACACATTTTTCTCTTTCCTTTTTCCTAGTTTTCCTTTTGCCCTGCTTGTGCCATCAGCCTGGGTAGGGATGTGGAGTGGAAAGCACCTGTAGGCATTGCTTAACCTCTTGACACTCGGAGGCCACCTGCTCTGGGAGGTGGCCAGGGCACAGGCTCAGCTTTCTCAGAAGCTGCCAGAGGGGTCCTCCCAGTGAAACACCTGGACTACATGCCAAAGCACCTACAACCCTGGTTACAGAACATTGGCTCCAGAGCACAAACAGTGGGATTCTGTCACTATTCTGTGATCACCTTGTTTAGAGAGAGCTGCACAGAATGGGGAACTGCAGTGTTACTAAATTAATACATCCTGTCTTCCTTTCTGCATGAGACTTCAGAGCCTCAGCCCAGCTTGCCATGTTCCCTGTGTGGAAACCAGCAGGGTCGTCTCATGTTTATGTTTACACTACCAGAACCCTGGCCAGACCGCTGCTTCACTGTGTGCTCAGGTTGGAATTGTTCTCAGGGATATTTGCAAGGCCTTGTCACAAGCTAAAAAGTAGCAGCTGGGTCCAGAAGGTTCTTACCCTGTTCTCCCCTCTCCTAAGGGGAAATTTTATAGTGAAACTGCTCACTTCAGTGGGTATTCTTGGCACCACTAGAAGAAATTGGTTAACAGATACACTACTTAGAACAAAAGTTGACCTTTTAAAATTACTCGCCTCTGTCCCTAGGGACAGGAAGTTGGGGTGGAGTTTCCCTGTCAGAGTCTGGAATAACTCAGTGGGTTCTGGCAACTTTCAATGAAGGAAGGTGTCAGAGTTGCACACGTGGTCACTGGACAGCACCAGAGGAACAGACAGAACCTACTTCTCCCTAGACCTGCAGTTTCCTGCTGTTTCCATTTCTTTTCCCCTTCAGATTAAAAGTGCCTCTTCCTACTTTATTCCTTGAGTAAACTCAAATTTATTGTTTCTAATGCTCTCATCTCTTCAGAAATACTGGAATCAAATGGTACTTTTGGTAGTTAACAGAAGCATTTTGCTTAAGCAGCATTTTGGCCTTCCCTGTATGGAGTCCCTTTAGGCATCCTAGCTGCAGCTGATTTGCTCGGTTTGTTACTGTGGACTCTTCTGATTGCTGGTCACCAGGGAAAAGGAAAACACTCAAACCTATGAATTGTGCTTTCTGTCAGAAGCCATGTGTTGGGAAGAACACATTAGAGGTTGCAATAAAGTGAGACTTGAAGAAAACCAACAGACTCACCTTTCTATTTATATGGGGACCTTGACACATGGGGCATCATTTCTGATAATTTGTCTACATGAGTGGGCTGCCTTGACTCCAGGATCTGCTGACACGGTCCTAACACTCAAAGGACACGTATTCCACATTCTAGTTCCAGTCTGCACAGCTAGTGGAGCTGGGAAACAAGGCCAGACTGTGTGCTGTGGCGCTGAAGGCAGGCTTGAGCATCTCAGCAGTGCATGCTGGGGCCTGGGCAGAGTCAAGGACCATCTCCCCTTCTGCGTGCACCAGCTGTTGCACCTCACTTTCACATATGCCAGGCTTTCACAAAGGAGTGCCCATTGCTTCTTTCTAGTGTTTGAAAAAGAACGAAAAACATATTCTCTGAATTCAAGTCACCTCTCAATTACATCCACAAGATTGCATTACCAGGGCAAAATACCCCAACACCTGAGGTGCACCCAAGTCAGGGCTGAGTACTCATGATTAGAACATTGGTTTCTCAAAAGAACATGTCAGTCTCGGTCTGGAAAGATTTATATGGAGACCAGTTAAAAGCTGTATTCAAATGGTGGCCTACTTATTTGGGCCAGACAGTTGCAAATCAAGATTCTGTGGAAGCTTTGTAAAAAGGTTTACAAGAGTCTGGGATTATTTGTTGCTTGATACCCACTAGTTTAGATCTGCCTACTGTATTTAAACTCCTTTTAAAAGAAAACACCTCCTTCCCCCTAGTAGGAACCTGAATGCCACTTGTATGGACGAGTGTGTTACATGCGACTCACACCTTCCATTGTGACAGGAACCCTTTTTTTAAAAAGTTCACTCCAAAAACATTCCAAATAGCTTAACGGATTTATTTACAAGTTGCCTTCATTCTGTACGATACCTATTTGCTTTTAGTATTTGTAATCTTGACCCATTTCAGATCGAGACCCGGCCATACTGTGGTGTGGACTGAGGTAGACCTGTTTTTCTTTTCCAATGAATACAGACGTTTTTTTCTTTGCTGAGCATTTTTTTTAAGAGTATCTATTTGAAAGGCAGAATGACAGCGAGTGGGAATCTCCCATCCACTGGTTCACTCAAATGGCTGCAAGAGCTCAGGCTAAGCCAGGCTGAAGCCCAGAGCCAGGAAATCCAGGTCTCCCACATGGGTGGCAGGGACCCAAGTACTTGGGCCATCATCTACTGCCTTCCCTGGTGCATTAGCAGGAAACTGGATTAGTAGCAGAGCAACAGGAACCTTGCAGACATTGCAAGTGGCAGCAGAACACTGCAAAGCTGGCCCCTTTCCTGTTGAATTTAAACTTATGGAGGACAGCAGTGTTTTGGTTAACAGGAGGTCTTGCTAATATTAGTGCTGTATCACTCTTGCTGGTACCCACTGTCACACTGCTGCACTGTTTCTAACCCGAAGCATTCCCCTGTAGGTTCTAGTCTCGTGTTTTGAGTGTGCCCCTAGGAAGGGGGACCACTTCAGTGGCCGAAGTTTAGGCCTCTTAACTGCTCCTCCATCCTTTCCAGCTGGAAACCTGTGCTCTCTGATTGACTTCTTAGCATGGATGAGCTGAGGGAAGACAAAATCTTCCATGAAGTGTGCACAGTAGCTTCTGGCAAGCCATCAGCTGAGAATTCTGTCAAAGCTCTGACTTCTTGGGAAGAGAAAAGGGTGCGTTGTAGTGACTTGGTTTTGAAAACAGTGGTTGGTTGGGCCCGCAACCCACCTCCATATGTTTTTAATTGTCTAGGGTTGTCTTCTCGACTTGAAAATCCTATTGAAAAAGCCAGACATGTCCGTGTGGAGGACAAGTTCCCCATTGAGCAAGGTGTAACAGGAAGAGTATCACTTCCCAGTATGAAGATGCTTTCTACTCTGACAGGAAATTTTCATGTGGAAGAGATCTTGCATTTCTTCTCTCAAACATGACACTGTCTGCTGTTAATGACCACACCCAAGGTTGTACTTTATAATAAAGTCTTTTTTAAAAAAATTGTGGTTTATATTTTCTTTTTTCTGCCTTACAACCTGCTTTTACATATAATTTTCAAGTAGTGACTTGTACATCTGAAATAAGGCACAACATGTAGGTTTAGGAGATGGTATGAAATCCACTCAAACGTGTAAGTTGACATTTTCATTCAAGTATATTCATGTAGAAATTGCCTAATGGATCACCAGCTTAAAACATCCCCTTGAAAATATTAAGAAATAAATAGCTACAATCCAGGTCCTGTCTTCTGAAGAACTTAGTTCATAGGGCCACGCTCCTGCTCCCCAGGAGGCGGCTCCTGCTGTCCGGGTATAGGTGGTAACCAGTCTTGCTTCTGTGGCCATCCATTCACTCCATGCCCTAGAACAGGAAAGGAAGACTCGTCAGAATGAGCCAGACTTATTCATAAGCCAGGATTCGGTGCTTAAGGACCCTGGTGCTGTGGAGTGAAGCTGGGGTTCCCTCTGGGTCCTACAACTCTGACCCATCCCTGCATCTACTCTTTGCTGAGAGGGAGCAGCTGTACAAACAGGCCTTCCCGGCACCAAGGCAGCTTAGTGGGTCTGAGGATTCAAGCCTGTCTCTGACCTAAGGATCTGGTAAATAAGCTGTGAATACAGACTGCTGGGGCCCTGCTCTCTGCCTCCTCCCTCACATGGCTGTTGGTGCCATCCTGCTCAGGACTTCCTCAGCCTCCTGAGGAAGCTCTCCTTCCTGCAGTTCAGCTGGTTTTACACCTGGTTCACAATTTACATTCACCCTCCTGCATGCAGCGAAGGCTCTCAAGGCTTATCAGTACACATTAAGAGGGCTAGATGCTAGCTATTTATCTATTTTATTTGAAAGGTAGAGAGACCAAGTTCCTGCTCACTGGTTCACTCCCTGGGATAAAGCCAGATATCAGGAACTCCATCTGAGTCTCCATGTGAGTGGCAGGGACCCAACCACTTAGGCCATCACCACTCTTCTCAGGGTGTGCGTTGACAGGATACTGGAGTTGGGAGGGGAGCTGGAACTTGAACTCTGGCACTTTGATACGGTTGCAGGTGTCCCACGCAGCACAGTAGTGACTATGCCAAACACCCACCACTATGAAGATTGCAGAGTCCTTCCCCCTTTACCATCATGATTTCTTTCTTTCTTGTTTTTAAATTTATTTTATTTATTTGAGAGCAGAGTTACAGACAGAGAGGAAGAGACAGAGAGAGAGAGAGAGAGAGGTTTTCCATCTGCTGGTTCATTCCTCAGATGGCCACAACGGCTGCAACTGGGCACATCCAAAACCAGGAGCCAGTAGCTTCATCTGGGTCTCCCACATGGGTGCTGGGGCCCAAGCACTTGTGCCATCTTCTGCTGCTTTCCTGGGTGCATTAGCAGAGAGCTGGATCGAAAGTGGAGCAGCCGGGATTCAAATTGGTATCCATATGGTATGCTGGTGCTACAGGCGGGGGCTTAAACTACTACACTATGGCACTGGCCCCACATCATGATTTTTAAATAATCTGGTACAGTAGTTAAGATTCTTCTTGAGAGCCTGCATCCCATTATCTGAGTATCAGGGCTTTGAGTCCCAGTTCCACTTCCACTTCCAGCTTCCTGCTAATGTAGATCCTGGAAGTAGAAGGTGATGGCACAAGTATTTGGGTCCCTATCACCCATGTGGGAGACCTGGATGAAGTTCCAGCTTCAGTGTGGCTCAGCCCCTGCTGTTGTGGTCATTTGGGGGAACATTCCAGCAGATGCATGATTTCTCTGTTGTCTGTCTCTCTGCCTTTCAAATGAATAAAAAAAATAAAAAAAAAAAGAATTGGAGTTACACTCATTCTCGTGACAGGTAAAGCTGCAAGTAGCCTATGAGGTTCAGTGTGGTCCATCCAGCCACCTGCTTTCCTAGCTCTACATGTCTACCCCATTACAAATAAGGCTGATAAAGCTCAGATGGACAGCAGCTGTCCACTAACACCTGCACCACAGAGCAAGACCACACAGGAAGAGGGCAGGAAGAGGGCAGGAAGTGGGCAGGAAGAGGCCTGGGACGGCATCCCTCAAGGAGCCCGGGGAGAGGCGTGTGGAAAGATCACTGTCCAGGTACTCCAGCAAGTTTCTAGACCTGAGCCATGTGGGTGTGGGAGAGGGCAAAGAAAGGGGCAGAGGCCAGGAGACTCTATGAAATGGCAAGGAGCTGCCATGAACCAGTTCTTACATTTCCAGCTAAGTTCCTCACGTAGGCGAGCAGGTCCTGGTTAATCAGGGTCACTGCTGCACGGAAGGCAGCGCGCAGCAAGGACGGCGTATGCTCGGCTAGCTTCTTGGCCAGCAGCATGGTCAACATCAGTGTAGCCTTCTCCCTCTCCATGTCTGCAGGCCAAGTCTCCATCGCTTGCTCCACGGCCGATGCCAGCCGCCTCCTTCTGTCCTGTGGAGGGCCACACACCACCTAGTTTGCCAATACCCTTCCCTCCTAAAGGAACTCCAGTCCCCAGCGCGCAGCACACAGAAGCATTTCCAAGGGACAGAACTAGGGGAGAAATGCAGAGGGGAGCCTAGATCATCCCTGGGAGGAGAGGTTACCACCCAATAAACGCATTCACCAGCAGACACTACAGCAGGGACAGGGAACCTTTTTTCGGCCAAGGGTCATTTGGATATTTATAGTGCCATTCGAGGACCTCACAAAATTAGGAACTTAAAAAATCTGCCTGCTATAGATTTATTGAATTTTGAGTTCCACTTATGGTTGCCTCTGCAGGGCCAGACCCAGAGGATTTTGCAGTCTCTCTGTGTCACTCTTTCTCAATAAATAAATAAATAAATCTTAAAAAGACAAAGTTCTCTCTAAGCCTGAAGGGAGCGTCAGTTATTTCTAGAAGTCACATGTAGTTCAATCTTTTTGGAGGTTTTTATCCCTAAACTCTCTTGGATGATTTAACATTCAGCTTCCCTACATCTCAACAATTCTGACAGAAAGCCATGCTGGACTCCACTTCCTCTGTCAAAGCGCCAGGTCTGACAGTCATGAGCTGAGTCACTTTGCCAGGCACTGGACTAGCTGCTGTTGGATCACCTGACAGCCAAGGAGATGGAGGCCAGCATGGGTTTTCTCCCCTTGCTCACCTCCTCCGAGTGGTCATTCACAAACTCCACCACCAGGTTGTTCAGCAGCTCTGGCTGGATGTGGTGGTCCATCCTGTCCCCGATTTGGGCGAGACGCCTGGCAATGTTCCTGATGACCTCTTCTTGGCTCTCTGAACCTGAGCGTTCAGGCAGCAGAAAAAGAGACGATTTAGACAGGCCCCGGTGCACACCTCCTCCCAGCCCAGCCCATCCCATGGCTGGCTCCGGGTCCCCCAGCGAGCCTGATGGGAAGACTTGGAGACCAGCCATGCGGCTGGAGTCCAGGGAAAGGCCTGAGCAGAAGACTGGCGGGAGATGTAAGCCTCCCTCCGAACACAGGCCCAACAGCTGCTGGCAGACAGCGCTGGGCATTCATTCCCTGAGGAACAAATCTGGCTGCAGTCCTCACAGCTGCCAGTTTCAGACCCTTGAATCTAACAGGCGTCCACCTTAGTGCCAGCAGAGGCCCCGCGTGGGACCATGCATCATGCCCTTCCTCCCAGGGCAGCCATGGAGCGTACTCCTTCCTCCAGCAAAACCCCACATCTTCACGGGCACCCTAAGGCCCTGTGTAACCAGCTCCTGCTTCTGTAACGGGAACTCTCCAGTGACATCTGCTGGGCTCCCTCAGCCGCAGGCTCATTTGCCCTTCTGTGGTCCCGACCATGGTACAGGTAGTACCGATAGGGCATCACTTCTCTACTCAAAACCCTTGGGGGCAGGCGTTTGGCCTGGTGGTTAAGATGCACACTGGTGTACCTGGGTTCAACTCCTGGCTCCAGTTCTTGACTCCAGCTTCCTGCTAGGGCAGACCCTGGGAGGCAGCAAGTGATGGCTCAAGTGACTGAGCTCCTGTCACCTCCAGGGAGACCTGGGTTGAGTTCCCGGCTCCCAACTTCAGCCCCAACTGGAGTCCACTTTGAGCATTTGGGGAGCAAACCAGCAGATGGAAATTCTGTCTCTCTGCCTCTCAAATAGCTATATTATATTTAAAAAAAAAAAAGAAAGAAAAAGCTAGGCCAGCATGGTAGTGCAGCAGGTTAAGCCACTTCCTGCAATGCTGGCATCCCATATGGTTGCTGGTTCAAGTCCTGGCTACTACACTTCCCAATCCAGTTCCTTGCTAATACACCTAGGAAAGCAGCAAAAGATGCCCAAGTACTTGGACCCCATACATCTGAAGATCCAGAGGGAGTTCTAGGCTCCTGGCTTCAGCTTGGCTCAGCCCTGGCCATGGCGGACATTTGGGAGAACGAACCAGTGAATGGACAATCTCCCCCACCCCCTGTCTCTCCCTTTCTCTGTAACTCTGCCTTTAAACAAATCTTTAAAAAATGAAAAACAGGAGGCTGATGCTGTGGTACAGCAGGTGAAACCATTAACAATCCCAGCATCCCACATGGGTGCTGGTTCGAGTCCCAGCTGCTCGACTTTTGATCCAGCTCCCTGCTGATGAGCCTGGGAAAGCAGCAGAAGATGGCCCAAGTCCCTTGGCCCCTGCATCCACGTGGAAGACCCCGATGAAGCTCCTGGATCCTGGCTCCATTGCAGCCATTGAGGAGTGAACCAGCAAATAGAAGATGTCTCTCTCTCTCTCTCTCTCTCCTTTCTCTAACTCTGACTTTCAAATAAATAGATCTTTAAAAAAATTTTAAAAAGCAACATTTCCAATGCTTCCTCTGAAGCAACAGAGAGAGTCAAATGACTGCTGACTTCCTTCCCATGCTTCTCTTCCAATGTCCTTGCCACACTCAGCCATTCGCTGTACCTCACAGGTCCTAGGCTTGTGTGGCTTCCGGCTTCTGCTTAGGCTATTGCCATTGCCTCTTCCAGGTTTTCCCAAAGAAACCTGGAAAAACTTGGACTCTGGCTATAGTTCCTGCTACAGCAGCTTTGACTAGCAGGGCTTGTTCTGTCCCTACCCCTCCCTAAACCTTCCCTAGTGGGCTTCCTTCTGGACCTGAAAGCAGAGAGAGTCTTTGGGACACCATGATTAGTGAGGAACTCCTGCCACAACCCCATCTACTTGGGCAGAAAGCCAGGAATGAATCAGCTGTTGGTCTCTCCCAGGGCCACCAGAGGGCAGTACAACCTCCTCCCCAGAGGCAAGTTGGAAGGCTGGATTTCAGGCAGCTGCCAGGCTAAGCTGCAAGGGCTGTGCCCAGGGCCTTGCCAGACAGTGACTTTATGTCTGAATCACCTGCAGAGCAAGGCAGCTGCAGAAGGGTCAGGGGCCAGCACACTCCCAAGTTCCTTAAGTGATTTTGCTGTGTACGTACACACTTCTGGGAGCTTGTCTTTGGTCTCCCTCAGGAAAGCCTTTGTCTGCATATGCGCCACCACTGCCAATGGGCACAGGGACCCAGGCCAGGGAAGGCAGAGGAGCCTGGAAATAGATACACCATGTGCCGGGCAGGATAACTGAGCTCTGGGAAGGCCCGGCCCAAGGCCCATCTCTGATGCACCCACTCTAGCCAGACGCTTCTCCAGGCCTCAGTGTCCTCAGGCAGAAATGAGGTTCAGGCCGGCACCGTGGCTCACTAGGCTAATCCTCCGCCTGCAGCGCCAGCACTCCGGATTCTGTCCCGGTTGCCCCTCTTCCAGTCCAGCTCTCTGCTGTGGCCTGGGAAGGCAGTGGAGGATGGCCCAAGTGCTTGGGCCCTGCACCCACATGGGAGACTAGGAGAAGCACCTGGCTCCTGGAGCTTCAGATCGGTGTAGCGCACCGGCCACAACACGCCGGCCGAAGTGGCCATTTTGGGGGGTGAACCAACGGAAGGAAGACCTTTCTCTCTGTTTCTCTCACTGTCTAACTCTGCCTGTTTTTTAAAAAAAAAAAAAAAAAAGAAATGAGGTTCAGAATACGTCAATGTCCAAGCCATCTTACAGGCTGAGTCAGCACTGCAGTGTACCACCTGGATGCAAAAACTCTCTATAGAAAGAGTGGATTTCCAGTGGGCCTGCTCAGGGTGCCCGGAACTGTGTTAGCTAAACCCCTGTGGGGCTTTGCCTGAACCCAGTAGCCACAGATCAGTCAAAGCAGAACCCCTGCAGGTAGGAGCCAGGTGTCAGTATTTTCTGTTTGACACGAGAGAGTGGCAGACAACGACCTCACCATAATGCTCTCAACAGCTGGCCAACTGGCTCTCAACTGTAGCCAAGAACTCAGTCCAGGTCTGGCATGTAGATGGCACAAACCCAGCTACTTCAGCCATCACTGCTGCCCCCCACGGTATGTATTAGCAGGAAGTCGCAGTCAGGAGCCAGAGCTGGACGGCAAACCCAGGCACCCTGATGTGAGGCATGGGCATCCTAACCTCCAGCTGAAATACCTGTCCCCTCTTCCCAGTATTTGTTAAAGCTTCTCAGGTTCTTGGAATTACACAGAATCCAGATCAATGGTTCCCAAGCTTCCATTGCATTAGAACCACTTGGGAAATCTGGTAAGAAATACTATTTCATATTGGTCCAGAGAGGAGAGCCAGGATCAGCCATGAAACGAGGTTTTGGCTCCTCAGAAGGGAAGACCTTTCTAATGTGCTCATCCAAGAACAGCAGGTGCCGCCAAGGACAGACTAGACATCACATGACACGGATGTGTAAGGTCCCTCCAGGCCTGCAGGCGCCCTGTTACTCAGGGCTGCAAAGCCCGGCTTCAGGGCCGCGGAGGAGGGTCGCACACCTACCTGCCTCTGCTCTCCCCATCTGGAGGAAGCTGGCGTGGTTGCCGTCCGTCTGCAGTTCGTCATCATCGTAGCTGCAGCAGTCATAGCTGTCGGCCAGCTCGGCTTCTGAGAGCAGCTCCCGACCCAGCACCTGTAGTTCTTCATGGAAACTGCAGCTGCAGCAGCTCTGGAGGAAGCCTAACACCAGCAGGTTTGTGATGTGCTCGTCCCTGGGGCCTGGACCACTGCTGACCTAAGATGAAAGGAAAGGCAGTGAAACTGGAACCTGTCGCAGGGCTGGACGCCTTTTTTGCAGCTGAGTTGGCAGAAAGGGCTATGGGTATGGCCAAGCCCACAGGATCCCACAGGTACCGGTGCTCTGCAAGCGGGCTAGGGGCCTGCTTTAACCAGTGCCACTTGCAGATGCTGAGAAAGCTCCAACTCTGCAGAAGGCGACTCTGTACCACTTGCTTGACCTCCAGTACCCGTGGGCGAGCCGCTAGCCAGGGCAAGAGGGAAGTCAGGCAAACACCACTGTTTCAATGCCTCCTTCCAATACCATGGATCCCTTACCAACTTGAGCCTGCCTCTCCTGGCGATGCTACCAATGGCTACAAGTTCTTCCTTTTCCATGACCTCCCTTGGGAGGCCCCAGGGGTATTGGGCAAACAGAAGAATCTCACCACTGGGGTGTGAGGGCCACAAGTAAACAAATGCCTGCCACTGGACGAGCTAGGTTTGTTCTTTTAACAAACTAGGTTGTTGTTCTTTTAACAAGCTAGGTTTGTTCAGGTGGGTAACCCAGAACCCGGAGCGCCCTGCTCTAACCCACAGGGGCTGAGCTCTCGGCCTTCATAGGCAGCATTGCCTGCGGTGCACTGCAGCACCTGTGGGGTGCTGTGGGGGACGGGCCCACATGTCTGGTGTACTGACTGGGGCTGTGCGAGGGGACTGCAGCAAGTTTGTGGGAAATGGAATCGTATAACAAATTCATCTTGATGCTATAAATTTTGAAGTCCATGCATAATTTTTTCATAATATGTATTTCCCATGAGCTTTTGGGAGCCCTTCATATTCTTTATTTTAAAGATTTTATTTAGGGGCCGGCGCTGTGGCTCAGCGGGTTAACGCCCCGGCCTGAAGTGCCGGCATCCCATATGGGTGCCGATTCAAGACCTGGCTGCTACACTTCCGATCTAGCTCTCTGCTATGGCTTGGGAAGGCAGTGGAAGATGGCCCGAGTCCTTGGGCCCCTGCACCAGTGCGGGAGACCCGGAAGAAGCTCCTGGCTCCTGGTTTCTGATCGGCACAGCTCAGGCCGTTGCAGCCAACTGGGGAGTGAACCATCAGATGGAAGATCTCTCTCTCTCTCTCACTGCCTTTCCTCTCTCTGTGTAATTCTGACTTTCAAATAGAATAAATAAATATTTTTTAAAAGATTTTATTTATTTATTTGGAAGGTAGAGTTAGAGAGAGAGGAAAGAAAGAGAGAGAGGGCTGGGCCAGGCCAAAGCCAGGAGCCCAGAGCTTCTTCTGGGTGTCCCACTTAGGTGCAGGGGCCCAAGGACTTAGATGATCTTCTACTGCTTTCTCAGGTACATTAGCACAGAGCTGGACTGGAAGTGGAGCAGCTGGGACACAAACAGGTGCTGATATGGGATGCCAGCACTGCAGACAGCAGTTTAACTTGCTATACCACAGTGCAGGCCCCAAGCCTCCTCATATTCTTGGCAGAGGTGAGTGTCAGCAAGCTGTGCCCACAGCAAGTGAAGAACCAGGCTGAGAGAGGGAATAGACAACCTGGAAGACAGGGACACTAAGAACTGCGCAGAGATGCAAAACAGGCACACTGGGCAGAAGACAAGGCCAGGAGAGGAAAACCAAGGTGCAAGGCAGAAATTTATTTCTACCCTCTAAGGCCTAAGTACTTTTTTAGAAAAGTCAAAACATTTTTAGAGGAAAATTTTTTGATTTTCAAATTTTTATTTATTTGAAAGGCACATAGAGAGAAAGAGAGAGAGTGAGAGCAAGAGAGCGAGCGAGCGAGCGAGAGATCTTCCATCTGCTGGCTCTCTCCCTAAAAGCCCACAACAGCCAGAGCTGCTCTAGGCTGAAGCCAGGAGCCTGGAACTCCATCTGGGTCTCCCACATGAGCAGCAGGGACTCAATTACTTGAGCCATCACCTGCTGCCTCCCAGGGTCTGCATCAACAGGAAGCTGGAATGGGAAGTGGAGGCAGGACTCCACCCCAGGCACTCGGTATGAGATGTGGGCATCTTTACAACTATGCCAAAGACCTGCCTTTTAGAGGACAGTTTTTATAAAGCAGATTGTGCAAATAGATGGAATTCTGAACATAAGTTGCCTGTGCTTTACTTGTTCCGCTTTTATGCCTCCAAAATGCCTCTAAGAAAAGGAGAACGACAATGTAAAAGTTCCATGGTAACAAATCCTTACGATTCCTCCACAGTGCGGCCCAGAATCCCACAGTATGCTTTGTTTCTGCCTTCAGGAGGTACCCTGGTGGGGAGGAGAAGGGAGGGCTGGGGCAGGCTGGTCAGCTGAATTGTGTCCCCTGAAAGAAATCTTCAGATGCTGACCCCAAGTACCCATACTGCAACTCTACTTGGGAACATGGTCTTAGCAGAGGTGACCAAGAGACGAGAAGGTTGTACAGAGTTAGAGTGGGCCCCAAATCCACTTACTGCATAGTTGTAAGAGGCAGATTCACACACAGACACACAGAGGAAATGCCCTGTGTCAACAGAGCGCAGAGCTGGGGCAATGAGAGCCACCAGAGGATGGGCTTGGCAGAGATCCTCCACAGCCCTAGAAAGAACCCACTCCAACGACCCTTCACTCAAGACCCCTTCATTCAAGAGTCAACTTCTATTGTCCAAAGCTGGTTCATGGAGTTTGGGGACAGCAGCCCAGGAAACCAACAAAGGCAGTCTATGCCCCCAAGGACTTCCTTCTGATCCAGGAACCCACTCCTGGTAAATGCCTCCAGCTAGGCCAGCGCAGGTGTCAAATGCAAGCCCCACGATCTCAGCTCTAACAACAGAGGGGCCTTGGAGAGGAAGGAGGAGTTTCACATATGGAGGACAGGCCCACAAGCCACAAGGGGGTCACCCAAGATGCCACATGCTTGGCAGTACTCAGTGGGCAGCACCTGTATGGACAGGTAGGTCAGGGACAGCATGAACTTATCACAAAACAGGCGTTGTGCTTGGGAAATGGACAAACAGAACTTAGGACATGCCAGTACGGGACCACGTATGCCGTTTTTTATGTAAGTTGAACATCTCAAAAGAAAGGCAACTTGATAGTTATGCTCTCAGATGACAGAACAACAACAAAAAAAGTTAGGAGCAATGATCAAGATGTGAAATATCACAAAGCTGATGTAAAGGAAGCAGAAAGAATTCTCATGATACAAAATCAGTTCCCATGCAGAGAGTAGTATGGAAACTACCCCATGTGTTTAATAATAAGCCCAGTGTCCAGACAAGCAAACAAATAGAAGCACCAAACTATAAGAAATAAAGCCAGCTTCACTTTTTCTCTTTGTTTTTCTTAATATCAAAACCCAAAGAATGTTGCAACAACAATGAAATCACAAGTGTGATTTCATTCACAAGGCACCTCCAATGCCCAGATTCATAGAGACAGAAAGAAAAATGGGGCTTGCCGGGGGCTGGCGTGCAGAGTGGGGAGTTAGCATTGAGGGTGCAGAGTCAGCTGAGGGAGAGGATATCATTCTGAAGAGGGGTGAGTGGTGGTGGCAGTGGTAGGTGTACAGCAATGTGCATACATTTAATGCCAGTGAACTGTTCACGGAAAAATTGGTAAACTTTGGAGCCAGCATTCAGCCTAGTGGATAGGATGGCCATGTCCTACATCAGAGAACAGAAGATGGATTCCTGGCTCCAGCTCCTGACTCAAGCTTCGTGCTAATGCTCATGCTGGGAGGTAACAGGTTATGGTTCAAGTAACCAGGTCTCTGCCCCTCACTGAGTTCCTGAATCCCAGCTTCATTCCTGGCACAGCCCTGGGTGTTGCAGGCATTTGGGGAGTAAACCAGTGGATGAAAGCTTTGTCTTTCTCTGCTTATCTGTTCTCTGCCTCTCAAATTTTAAGAAAAGATGAATTTTATCCGATGTGAATTTTACCGCAATTTTATTAAAACAAAACATAAAGCAAAGCAAAGAAATACTTACAACAAGATGAAAGCTCTAATGTGGGGGGGGGCAGCTAAACCACAAATATAAGAGAAAACTGCAGGCTGTCATTGAGGTACAGTGGGTTATACCACGTATGCAATGCAAGCATCCCATACAGGTGGCAGTTCGAGTCCTGGCTGCTCCACTTATGATCCATCTCCTACTAATGTGCCTGGGAAAGCAGAGAAGGATGGCCCAAGTACTTGAGCCTTCGCACCCATGTGAGAGACTAGGAAGCCAGGTCAGGCTCCTGACTTCAGCCTGACCCAATCCTGGTTGTTGCAGCCATTTGGGGAGTGACCCAGCAGATAGATGATCCCTCTCTCTCTGTCACTCTATCCCTCTTTCTGTGTATCACTCTGCCTTTCTAATAAAATAAAAATAAAAATAAAAAGAGAAAATATCTCACTGCTTCATTGATGGGCAAGCTGCCTAATTTCTGTGTCTCCCTGTTCTCTGACTTTGATGGTGCAAAAGAAAAAAGAAACACACTGGGAATAATTGTATCCTCTCTTCCTTCACCAAAGGGACTAGCTGGAGGGATTGCTATAGAACCCCCAAAACTGCTCACCCACCTAGAGCACAGTAAGCCCATCAGTGACACTGGGCTGCTGGGAAAGGCAGGTATTTACTGCAATGCACAGAGCAAGGAACAGGCAGCTAGCACTGATCTCCAAGACTCCCTGAGGGAGTCAAGGTAGTGAATCTTCTGGCTGAAAGTTGGGGATAAGCAGCAGTGATCTGCTAGTGTGTGGCTTTTGACCAGAGATCAGGGCCAGTGTGTTTCCTTTGGAATGACAAAGGTGGGCTCCTGTGTGCCTGGGTCTAGGTGTAGATTGGGTATTGGTTTCTTTGATGAGGCTTGAAGTTCCTGAAAAACCTCCCAACTCAGGTCTAACACAAGGACATCAGCTATGGTGGTGATAAATGACCTTCAAGACCTGCGTTCACAGTTCAGCCTGTAGGTCGCTCAAAGGCTCTCAGATCAGAGGTCAGCACTGAGGAGTTCACTATGCTAAAGACAAGGACAAGAAGGAACTGGGCCCATCAATGTGGCACAGCGGGTTCAGCCACCACTTGTGATGCGGGCATCCTGTATCAGAGCATCAGCTGGAATCCTGGCTATTCCATTTCCCATCCAGCTCCCTGCTAATGTACCTGGGAAAGCAGTGGAAAGTGGCCCAAGTACTTGAGTCTCTGCCACCCACATGGGTGACCAGGATGGAGCTCCAGGGTCCTGGCTTTGGCCTGGCCCACTCCTGGCCATTGAGGCCATTTGGGGAGTGAACCAGCAGATGGAAGATCTCTCTGTCACTGTGCCTTATAAATAAACAAATCTTAAAAAAAAAAAGAAGAAGAAGAAGAAGAAGAGCTATTGGAACCTGATAAAATCTACATCAAAGGCTGGCAGGGCTGGGGTTTGGTTACAAAAGGGATGCTACATAAGACTGCACTCCAGGGGGCCGGCACTGTGGCATAGTGGGTAAAGCCGCAACCTGCAAGCACCAGCATCCCATATGGGCACCAGTTCGAGTCCTGGCTGCTCCACTTCAGATACAGCTCTTTGCTGTGGCCTGGAAAAGCAGTGGAAGATGGCCAAAATCCTTGGGCCCGTGTACCTATGTGAGAGGCCCAGAGGAGGTCCTGGCTCCTGGCTTCGGATTGGCTGAGCTCCAGTGGTTGCAGCCATTTGGGGAGTGAACCAGTGGATTGAGGACCTCTCTCTCTCTCTCTCTCTCTCTCTACCTTTCTGTAACTCTGCCTTTCAAACAAAATAAATAAATCATAAAACAAACAAACAAACAAAAAAAAAAAGAATGCACTCCCTAAAGGTTAGCATGCACAGCACCACGTGGCAGTGCTGCTTCAACCTGCAGGCATCTCAAGAATATGGAAGAGGGAGCAACGTGACAGGCTAGAAGGGACACAAATGGACAGCTTTATATGGCACCAGAGCACTGTTTTATTTTCTTTTTCTTAAATTTCTATTTACTTATTTTGAGAGACAGAGAGACAAAGAAAGCTGCCACGCACTGGTTCACTTCCCAAATGTCTGTAACAGCCCCTGGCTGGGACTAAAGCCAGGAACATGGAACTTAATTGGGTCTCCTACAGGGGAGGCAACTTCTTGGGCCATCACTGATGACTGCTAGGGTGCTCATTAGTAGGAAGCTGGAGTCAGGAATCAAACACAGGCCCTCTGATATGGGACAGGGGCATCTTAACTGCTAGGCTAAATGCCCGCCCCAGAGCACTGTTTTGTGACACTGCTAAAGGGTTTCATTATGACAAGATCTCTTCTGTTTGTTCACTTAACATGCATCCCTGGCCCACACATTCCTACATTTCTGGAAGGACATTCGACAGGTGCATGTTGCAAAGCTCCAAGCACTAAGTGCTTTTATGTGCTCAGAGATTCAGAAGCTAATTTTGTTGTTAAGTGTGAAGTTCCTCTTTGCCGAGCTGTCAAAGACCTGGGCCGCAGCAACTGCCCAAGAAAACAGACATAAAGACCAGGCAGGCCTTTGGCCACCTTCGAAGCCCCTTTCAACAGCATCCGAAAGAACCCTAAGAGTCTGACCTTGGGATCCACGGCATAAGCAGCACTATGCAGATCCATGTCACCTCTGGCTCCCAGGTGTGTGATCGGCAGCCTGCAACAGAACAGACAGACCCAGGGTCAGTGGGTTCCCTGCAAGGATTCCCCCTTCATGAACCTCAGGAAAGAACCAAGGAAGCAGTCCCAGGCTCACAGCCAAGAGGCTGAGCTCAGTCACTTGGCCTCATGATGCCCTCTGGATGTCTCTCTTTCTCCCCAGCATGGAGCAAACTGGAGTTCCCTCCTTCCAGGAGCTTGCCAAGTCCTGAGCCCTTCCCAGGGTCAACCCTCCATCCTCAGAGGTCCTCTGGTTGCACACTCAGGAAGACCTCATGGACCAGGCAAATAGGGCAGCTTGGCTCAATAAATAGCTAGTTAATACATTCTGCCTAAAGTTTTCAGGGAGTCTGTCTTACTATTACCATGCCCACTATCACAATGACTCCTTCCAACAATAAAAAGCCCAACTCATTTACTCAGTGTGCAGCAGTTCTCAGAGTGCCTCACTGAGCCCTAGGCGGTGCAGATACTGACTTAGTGGGGAATAAATAAGGCATGGGTCAATCTTTCTTCTCTCTCTCTTTTTAAACAGGCAGATATCACTTAAAATATTTATTTATTTATTTATTTATTTATGTTGGGAGCTGGTTCACTCCCCAAATGTCTACAATAGCCAGGACTGGGCCAAGCTAGAGCCAGGAGCCCAGAACTCAATCCATGTCTCCCATGTGGATAGCAGGGACCCAACAATTTGAGCCATCACCTGCTGTCTCCCAGGGTGCACACTAGCAGGAAGTTGGAATCATAAGCAGAGCGAAGACGCAAACCCAGGAACTCCAATATGGAATGTGAGTGTTCCAAGTGTCAGCTGCTGTGCCAAATACCTGCCTAGGGAACTATTAAATGGCAGCCAGAACGGACAGGTCAGCTCTTTCCATCAGGCATATAGAATCAAGGAGTAGTTAAGAGAAATTGTCCATATACAAGGGTACTTCAAAAAGTTTATGGAAAATGGAACTGAAAAAATAAGTTTATTTTGGTGCAAAAACTTTTAAAATTCATGCAGAATTTTTCATAACACTCACTTTCCATGAAGTTTTTGAAGACCTTACCATGTGCATGGATTTCAAGATCTGTTGCACCAAAATGAACTTATCCTTTAATGTCATTTCCACACTTTTTGAAGTCTCCTCATACACAGAAAAGACCTCCTATAAAATGTTTATAAAGAAACAGACTGTATTTGATAATTACATAAAAAATTACATCTTCCCAGGACACATCCGAACTTCACCTATCATAAAGCAGAGGCCAGACAAAAGCCAACTAAGGATTAACTTAAAAAATAAATGCCCATTCAATGGAACAGACCTAACCATGGAAAGGAATGAGAGATGTGTGTGCACAGGTTAGAGAGATGTCCGACACCATCTTAGGCTCTAGCCCCAACTGCCATGTCTGGAAACCAGGTGACCCCATGGCTCAACCTCAGCTCCACCCCCACCTTAATGGGATTTGCTGCTCCTACTTCCCTACCCACCCCCTGGCAAAGTTTTAAGAGGACCTGTTCCTGAACACGTGGCTCTCTCTCGATCTCTTGATCTCTCTGTTATGCTCTCCTTCTCCCTCTTTTCCTTCTTTGACCCTTCCCTCCAGTCTGTCAGGTTTCCCCCAGTAAAGCAAGGAAAGAACGAAAGAACGGAAGGAAGGAAAGAAGGAAGGAAGGAAGGGAGGAAGAAATCCAAAAGAGCCTGGACAAAAATTTCCATAGAACAGTCTGAATAGAATAATCCTATTTTAGAAAGTATATGCCAGGGTCAGTGTTATGGCAAAGCAGGCTAAGCCACAGCCTACAATGCTGGCATCCCACATTGGAGTGCCATTTCAAGTCCCTGCTGCTTCACTTCTGTCCCAGCTTCCTGCTGATGAACCTAGGAAAGTAGAAGGTGGACCAAGGACTTGGGCCCGTGCCACCCATGTAGGAGAGCTAGATGGCTCCCAGCTTTGATTTGGCCTGGCCCTGGCTGTTGTGACATTTGGGAAGTGATGGAAGATCTCTCTCTTTCTCTCTCTCTCTCCTTCAAGGAAATAAATAAATAAATAAATAAATAAATAAAAGTATTTGCCTGTGTATGTGTGGATCTACACACAATAGTAGGTTGAATAAAATGAAATCAATGGTCATTTTTTAAGGCAAAACCAAATACAATCTCTTTTTTTAAGGATTTATTTATTTTATTGAAAGGCAGAGATACAGAGAGAGAGAGAGAGAGAGAGCTTCCAGCTGCTGGTTCACTCCCCAAATGGCCTCAACACTCAGGGCTGCACCAGTCCAAAGCCAGGAGCCAGGAGTTTCATCCAGGTCTCCCACGTGGTACAGAGGCCCAAGCACTTGGGCCATTTTCTGCTGCTTTCCCATACCTGTTAGCTGGGATCTGGATCAAAAGTGGAGCAGCCAGGACTCTAACTGGTGCCTATAAAGGATGTTGACGCTGCATTAGCATTCTATGCCACAGTGCTGGCCCCTGGCAATTTAATATGGATCTTAAAACATAGGAAATAGGCTGGCGCAGCAGCTTAATAGGCTAATCCTCCGCCTTGTGGCGCCAGCACACCGGGTTCTAGTCCAGATCAGGGCGCTGGATTCTGTCCCGGTTGCCCCTCTTCCAGGCCAGCTCTCTGCTATGGCCCGGGAGTGCAGTGGAGGATGGCCCGAGTCCTTGGGCCCTGCACCCCATGGGAGACCAGGAGAAGCACCTGGCTCCTGCCATCGGATCAGTGTGATGCGCCGGCTGCAGTGCACCGGCTGCGGCGGCCATTGGGGGGTGAACCAACGGCAAAAGGAAGACCTTTCTCTCTGTCTCTCTCTCTCACTGTCCACTCTGCCTGTCAATAGAAGAAAAAAAAAAACATAGGAAATAAAAAACAAAATAATTAACAATCAATTTGCCTCTGGAAAGAAAGGAGGGGGCCCCTAGCCCTCCCCAAAAAGGAAACTGAACATGAGACCAGCCCAAGGGAGGGAGCTTCTGCCTGCCAGGCAGCAGCAGGAACTGCACTGTGGCACCACCATGCTTTTTGGTCCTATCCCTGTCTTAGGAGCACATACTGCACCCCAATCCTCCTCTGAGGACTCTGGAAGAGTCTACCCCTACCATGCCATGGCCAGGTATGGCTCTGATTTGGGCAAGAAAAGGGCACAAGAGCAAAGGACCAAGTGCATGCGGACAGAGGGAAGCACTAGGACACTGGCCAGAGGCCATCCTCTGGATCTCCATGGGACAAGAGGCAAGAGCCAGAGTCATTACCAGCCTCAAGACAAAACTCAAGGGCCAGTGTCTGGTGCACAGGATTAGGCTGCTTGTAATGCTGGCATTCTACATGGGAGTGCTGGTTTGAGTACCAGCAGCTCCTTTTCCAATCCAGTTCCCTGCTAATGCAACCAGGAAGCAGCAGATGATGGCTCAAGTACTTGGGTCCCTGCCACCCACATGGGAGACCTGTACAGAGTTCCAGGCTCATAGCTTTGGCCTAGCCCAGACCTGGCTGTTTGTGGCCATTTGGGGTAAACCAGCAGATAGAAGACCTCTCTTTCTCTCTGTTTCTGTCTCTCTCCTTCTCTCCCTCTGTCAGTCTGCTTTTCAAATAAATAAATATTTAGGAAAAATCAAAAACAAAAAAACAAACAAGCCACAGAAACCAGACAACCTCCCCAGAGTGACTGCATAGTAAATTACACTCTAGTTTCTACCTCCAGCTACGGAGCTTGCATCTCTCTACCACCCCATTAAAAACAACATCAGGTGGGCAATGGCCTAGTGGTTAAGACACCTATGACTCAGATCAGAGTACTGGGGTTCAATTTCCATCTTTAGTTCCTGACTCCAGGTTCCTATTAATGTACACACTGGGAGGCAGCAGGCGATGGCTCAGGTATTGGGTCCCTATCACCCATATGGTTGAATTCCAGGCTTCTGGCTTCAGCCTGGCCCATGCCTGGCTGTTGTGGGCACTTGGGGAATAAACTAGTGGGATGGGGTGGGAGATCTGTTTATCTCTCTGCTTCTCAAATAAATCAGTAGATTATTTTTTAAAAAGAAGTCAACTTCAGAAATTTCCATGGGGGCAAATATTCATCTGTCACTCCAGCACTCCAGACATAACTCATGCAAACATTTTGATTGACTTCCTTTCAGATGTGTGCATGTACAAACACAGACACACACATACACATCTACACATAAACTTCCATAGTCTTCTGCCTTCATCTACAGTGTTATCATTTTCTCACTCCAATACAGTCTTCCAAAACATCCTAATGCCTTTATCTTACTGCAATGGTTTTCAACCAGAGGTGATTGCGGCCCTCAGGAAGGACTTGGCAATGCCTGTAGACAATTCTGCTTGTCATGGGATTGGGGAAGTGATACAGACAGCTCATAGTGGGTATCAGGGGAGTGGCACATCCTACATACAGGTTTAGCTAGACCAAAAAGTCAAGTGCCTGATCTGAAAACCCTGTTCTAGTGTCTTCAGATGCACCAACATACCATTAACTTCCTATGTTGGGCACTTAAACAGTTTAAAAATCTTCACCACTAAAAACAGGACTGTGATTAGCACCCTGGTGTGGCCTTTTCCTATTAAGTCTAGAATCAAATAAGAAAGAGCACAGTGGAAGTACAAAGTGCCATCCTGGACTGGGCTCCCGGGAATTAAGACAAAAGTGACTGTAGGGGCTGGCGGGAGCACCTGGGCTCTATGCTTGGCTTTGGCTCCTGACTGCAGCTGCCTGCCAGTGCAGACCCTGGGAGGCAGTGGTGATGGCTCAAGTAGTTGGGTTTCTGTCACTCATATGGGAGGCCTGGGCTGAGTTTCAGGCTTTGGCTGGGACCAATCCCAGCCATTGCAAGTGTGTAGGGAATAAACCAGCAGATAGGAGCTCTCTGTGTTTCTGCCACTCAAATAAATATTTTTTTAAAATTAATAATAAAAAAGTGACTGCACCCCAATTGGGCTGTGACCTCGAGGACACCTGGGGTTGCCTCCTGCAGA